GTTACCAGGATACAAACTCTAATATATGCTTTTGTTTTGTTTTCTTCTGCGCAAAGAAGTTGCAGCTAGAACTGTGCCTGTGATTTCCATTTGCCTGTATTTTTCCTGTTTGATCATTGGCAGATGGTGACCTTGTTAGTTTTGAAGCAGCTTGATACACTAGTTTATTAGTAATTCAGTGAAGGCTTGTTTCCTTTGAATAGTTGAGATCTGTGTACTCATTAATGCTGTCAAAATGAATCAGTGTATTTCAAGCTGCTCCCCTCTAAAACCACAACGGGTTCTTTTTGGAATTGTGCTGAATTAACGTCAAAACAAGTGGAGTATAATGTCTGATGCTATGCTCAAAGAAATAAAAACTTCAATGTTTTAAGTGTAAACATTTTTTCCAGGCAATATTTTTGTTTATTATTAATAGATCGCCACAGACCCAAATGCTTAGACATCTGGAAATGACAATGTTAGAGATGTTGTTGTGTTTTCTGTGCATTCAGTCCTGGTTTACATTACCTAGTATAGGACTCTCTCAAGTTACATAACTGCATGATATTTTTATATATAATAATAACAACTTTTTTTCTCCTTAAATGCATAGTATCTTCTTGGGATGTATATGATGATATATTTCAGAGTAGAAGGCATTTAATAGGAAGTATACAAGATAAGTTATAGTACATCCAAGATGGAATAATTAGAGCCTAAAGCAGAAGAGGAAATTTTGTTGACATGTCTGGACTACATTAAGATACAGCTTCATAGTCAGTTTAAACCAAACTTCCAACTTCCTCTGGAAAAGGAGGTTTCACCTCCTCCTCCACTTCTAATTGCATCTCCCTTCTTTCTGCTGGCACTGTTTTGTTTTTTGTTTCTTTTTTATTGATTACTTAATTTTCAGCTGGAAAGAGATCTGACAACTGAATAGTTCAGTTCTGCTACAAATTTATGGAGTGTTCCTGTGCAGGTTATTTAATGTCTTTCTTTGGCATCCAGAAACAAAGATAATTCTTACTAACTTCCTGCTTGGAAGAGGTAGGATCGTAAGGATTTTGTTGTTAATGTTTGTTCAATGCTCCGTTCAACACAGTACACGATTCTTCATTGTCAATAACCAAATTGTCCCTAGTTTCTGTCTTTAATGGTGGGTGTTGTCATGGAAGATAAACCTCTCTATCTTGAGGGAAGTGCAGCAAGTTGTCATTGCTGACGCAACATTTAGATAGCACACTGTTTAAAAACAGAAGATGACCCAAGACATGAAATTACCATCGTAATTTCAAGTAGTTCCAGATCCTCACTTTCCTGGATCAAGGGATTTGGTTTATTGTATTATAAAGTAACATTTAATTGCGAACTTCTTCCAACTTAAATTTTTCATACTTCTCCTCTGATCTAAGGTTTTCTGACCCTGGAGCTCTGATGTGTCATATTATTTAAAATCGGGTAGTCCTTGTCTGGAAAGAAAATGGGGACAAAATACTTTTCTAACAAAGCATGGCGCTCAGTGAGAAAAGCTGTTCTAACGAAGCATGTAGCTCAGTGCTGTGAGACAGCTGGGACTTGGAACACCAGTTATTTTCTGTTTGAAAAACAACAACCCCCTCTAAAGACTAAATTCAACAAAGCTAAAGCAACTTGATCCCCTACCAACATCTTCCTTCCATACTTCTTGTTCTTTTGCAGGCTTAGTTCTGACTCTCTAGAACTTTGTAACAGAAATATTCTGCATGGGAATATGTGTATATGAAAGCACCGGAGGAAACAGCAGAGCAAAGGTTAAAAGAATGGCCTGTATTGATAACCAAGGACACAATTGACAGCAATAAAACTGATAAACCCTGGGGAATGCATTGTTTACATCAGCAGTAGAAGGCCTGTGCTCTGATAAGGTCACATCCCAGTTGGCTTGTTAGGAGAAAAGCTGCAGTTTGATAACAGGAAGATGGTAACAAGGTTACCCTACGTTGTAAGTGCCTCCATGTTGGGCAAAAGTGGTCTTGGTCAGACTGCCTGGGCACATCTCTTGGGTGCCTGTAAGTATGTGGATATGTGAGTGTGAGGGAGCAGAATCAACCTACTTGTGAAGTTAAATAAAATAAAATAGCCTCCCTCTACAATAAGGTCTTAAATTGAATGTTGGTGTGTTTTGGTTTTGGTTTGGTTTTTGGGTTTTTTTTTTTTTTTTTTTTTTACTAAATCCTACAGATCTTGACTTCTTTTTTTAATCCTGCAGGGAAGAAATTCCGATGGTGCACCCTCTCGGACCTAGAACAGAGAAAGTGTGCTGAACTGTCCAAAGCACTTATGGCTGTGGTGCCGCTTGCTACTGTCAATTCGTTTGCTAGAATTTCTTGCATCAGAGCCCACAATACATATGACTGCATTGATAAAATCAGGGTGAGTTCACAGAGATTTTAAAACTGATTTTGAGTCCAAATCATCTTTTGAAGAGTAACTGGTAAACAGAATCCATGGGAGAATAAAATGATACAATGGTATTGCATATATGACAAAGTACATGGTAGCTTGAGAGGCAAGAATTAAAACCCATGAGCATTCTACTAGATGTACTGTTTTACCTCAGCTAATATCTTTGCAATCTCCAGGAAATAAGTAGAAAGCTGCTTGGAAATAAACAGACAAAACCAAACTACTAAATTAAAACTTGCTTGGAGCATTCCCCTTGCTTGTGGGTTTTAGTCCTACTCTGACTATAATGAATATTTTCTCTTTCCCTTTCTTCCCTGATATTTTTAGCCCCTAGTTAGTCTTTCTGAAGTAAAGAGCAAAGTCTTTTTTCATATAAAAATCTTTAATTCCAATAAAATTAGACCTGTTGTAAGTATAAGCTCTTGTGACTGACCAGTTCTGAAACAAAATTTTCATAATGCTATATGCTTTGAAAGAAATCACTAATCAAAAAGGAAGATAAGCATTTGCTGTAGAATAATTTCATTAACATACCTAAAACTAGATTAGGTTAGAGAATTTCAGTTTCCATTTTCACTCAGTCCCCGTTGCCTTTAACAGAGTCCAAATCTGACCTGGAAAACAAAACAAAGAAAACGTTTCTTGTTGTTTCAGGGAATAATTTATTGCAGGTCCTGCAACCCTTGTTAATAGACTTCAGTTCCACTTTTTTGGGTTATGGGAAGATTATAGCCAGGAGAACTCTGAGAGGGATTTGGGGTCTTAGGGGTTGCCTTTTTCTTCAGTTGGCATCAGAATTGTGTTTTTAGAATGGAAGACCCAAAGAAGAGGTGAGAAAGGATGTTACTGGAAAAGAACTGCTATTTTTTGAGGGTAACTCAGCCTTCATTGCTAACATTTCACCACGCTTAGTAGCAGGGATTCAATTAAAAAACAAAGCAAATGTTTGTAAAAGTCACTGGTTACTACTTCTCAGGCAGAAACTCTGCTCTTGAAGCTGCTCTGTTTGTTTCCCTGCAAACACACTTGTTTTGAGGGTTTTGCTGTTGTTTTTAAGGCAAATAAAGCAGATGCTGCCTCCTTGGATGCTGGAGATGTTTACTCTGCTGTGAAGCTGTATGGTTTGACAGTGGTAGCAAAGGAGATCTATGATCAAGGTAGGTTCATAAAGCAAAAGAATAAGCAATAAGCTGTACTTCTTATTTGGCTAATAAATTGTTGTGCAGTGAAAGGCAAAGCTCAAGAATTCTTGAAAAAAAAGTCTGTATGTTTTCATTAACTTTATAGGAGTACGGAGGTGACTAACAACTGTTTCTAAAATACTTAGTAATGATGAAAAAAATACCAGTGGTGCTTTGTATCTAGTAGCCTTTCTACCTGTGGTACTGTCACTATCACAAATTGTATTCATCTACTCCTGCCTGCAGTGCTGGTGTAGAGGAGTACTACATCTTGTAGGGAATAAGAAGGGGTTTATTCCATCTATGTCAATTCTTATATCATGCTCTTCACTAGTGTAACTGAACATTTACTAGTGGTTCATTAAGAGATTAGCTTCTCTCATGAATTAATTCTCTCCTCCTCATCCTAAAGTGACAAGAATATAAGGTGGAGAATCTTGTTATGGTAAGATTCCTCTTAATTCCTGGCAGACCTGAACAGTCTGTGCAGTTAGTGATTTGTAAAGCAAGAATAAGCCTGAGCCAAAATCGAGCATACAGTAGAAAATACTTGTGGGACATGAATCTGAGAAGGAAGCTAAATTAGCAGATGGATGTAGGAAGAGACTAGTAAGGGCACAGTGTGAGAAAAGAAGTGAATTTTGTTTTGGCTGAAGAACCATGAAATCGTAGTGGTAAGTATGTTCTGAGGATAAGACAGGAGTTCTTTCCATTACAATAACTAAACAGTGTGATACAAATGTTCAAAATTCTTGAGAAGCAATTGCATTGGATGATGGAGCTGGATGATCTTGTAAGCCTTTTACACCAGATTTTTACATTCTTGCTTTGCACATCACTTGGATTGCTCAGTTTGAGAAGGTGCCATGTAGCCAGTATATGGTAAAGTTCCTGGCATGAGTACCTGTGTTTCATATGCCTAAGAGTTTGTTTTTCCTTAGCCATGTTCACAGAAGTAGTTGAACTCCTCTACACAGATGGAAGCTGTAGAATTGGGATTTAGTTATTTCTGTTACGTATTTTATCCTGTTACGTATTTCGCAGGAAATTGTGTGTTTGCTGTGGCCATTGCCAAACGAGGAACTCTGGATGTCCAGAGGCTACGAGGTGTGCGCAGCTGCCACAATGGAGCCAGATGGACATCAGGCTGGAATATTCCACTTGGCTTTCTCCTTGCAAGAAATGATCTTTCCTGGGATGAGGCACAACCTCTGAGCCAAGGTGGGTAATAGGAGCCATAGGGCTACGTGTCTGCCTTCAGCAGAAGTGAATGAAATGCAAGCAGATGTACAATAAACTGAGCTATGTGGAAACTGAAGGGCTTTGTAGGTGACATATTCTCTTGGAGTGTTTTTGACACTGGCTCTTACCTCGCTTCAGAACTTTTCTAGTGATCTCAGAGCAACAGAACTGTTACCAAAACAGGAAATCTTTGTGTTCTGTATGCAACAGGGAACAAATCTTTGCAATATCTAGCCAGCACAAGGATGGTTTTAAGCAAACAAAATTTGATCACTCTGTTTCTAGCAGATGTTTCATATTTGAAGTTTAGACAATGAAGCAACATTTGCTGATTTATTTATATATATTTTTTAAAGCACCACAGTCCTAGTTATGCCCGTGATATGTTTGGCCCCTTTTCTTTCTTACATTTTTTCCGATTTGACTTTTTTCTTTCTTTCTGTTTATTTCCCCCCTGCATATGCAGTAATCAGTGAGTATTTCAATGCAAGTTGCATCCCTGGGGTGGGTGTTGCTGCTCCTCGACTGTGTGCTCTCTGTCAAGGGCAAAAGTCCTATGTCAGAGACAAGAACCACTTCTGTGAGACAAGCAGTAATGAACCCTTCTATGACTCTGAGGGAGCCTTCAGGTGAGCTCTGTGACACTGGTGCTGAATTTACCTTCAGGGAAAAAGAACTTGCAAGGGAGGAAAAGCCAGGTGACATGTTAATAGGATGGCATGTGTCTTCCTGCAGGTGCTTGAAGAATGGAGTGGCAGATGTCGCCTTTTTAGATCATCTAGCCATTGTGAGTGCCACAGGTAATCCTAAAAACTGATATTCCTTTTAACCTCTGGCTGTGTTGTTTTCTGCATGGGAGTTTGGGGGATATGCCTATATTTTTGTTGTTTCCAGGGAAAAATCAGTCCCTACAAGTAGTTCAGTGGTATTTCTTGGCTCTCCACACAAATCAGAAGGAAACAGAAAGAGTAAGTGAGCAATAATTGCTCACAGGAGATTCTTAGAATGGGAGCAGGCAGATGTTTTTAAGCAGGTGATTTCTTTAGCCTAAAGTCTCTGATGCATCTGTCAGTATTTGCATTGCCTGAGCTATAAGATTCCTTTTAAAATCAGTGTACTGAGCTCCTAGAATGTGCAGTTCCCATACACCTGTTTTGTATTTTTGAACTCAGTCGAGCTCTGTATCAACATTTTTGAAGGCGGTTAGCAGTAGAATTTGCAGGTAAGTATTTTTAAACAAACATATTTTCAGGGGTACAGCTTAAAGAGTATTTGGGAGTACCTCTGGCTGAGGTCCCTCTCTTTGTTAAGAGAAGAGCATACCAAAGACAACTTTCCCTAGTGTGCTTGGTACACTGTGCTGCTTGCATAATCTTTGAGCAACCTCCTCTGAAAAATGTTTTACCTTCCATCTCTGTGCTTGCTGCCAAGTCATGTCTTACTTCATAGATTCATGAATGTCCTGTTGTTTCAGAGTCAGAACAACAGGAATATGAACTGTTATGTCCTGATGGGACTACAGCTGAGCTGACTGAATACACCACATGTAACTTGGGCAAGGGGCCTGGCCGTGGCATCATCACCCGCCACAACTTCCAGAAGATCACCAACAAATTTCTTACCATGATCCAAGTGAGTGGATATTATCTCCAGACACAGGCTTTTCTTCCGTCTTTGTGTAGAAATTACCACCTGGTTTGCCTTCTTTCTTGAGAAATGTATAGTTTGTGTGAAAAAGGACTAAAACTTGTTTTTTCTGGGGAAGGATCCTGCATTGGCTTCTGGAAGGTTTTACTTCTCTCCAAAGTGTTCTTCTATAGAAGACTGGGATTAAATAAGTAAAGAAGGGGAATATGTCATAACATGCAAACTGGAAAATGGCTAATGGTGTTCATCCTGGCCTGGAACTTAGGTGAATTTTTATGTAGCTGAGGGAGACGCATAGGTTCAGGCAGGGTTCACCTTTGTTCCTCTCTTTTTCTCAACTTATAAATAGTATCTGTTTCCTTCACATCTAGGAATCTATTTGAAGCTGAACCTGAGATGCGTATTTAAATGCAAATTTAAAGAATTTACGAAGCCATCCAGCCCTTAAAATAGTCCAGTAGACAGCGAATAATTCAACCCAGTGGTTGTGCTGTCCTGTCGACTCTGGCAGATAGCAGTTGTACAAAATCTCTTCTTTACTGAGAGATCTTCATATGCCTTTGTAAGTGCACTTATTATTAACACATATCTTAGCTGTGTTCCCCCACAGATAGCAATGGGTATGCAGCAGTGTTCCTAGTATGCTTCTCAGGGCTTTCTTCTCTTCCAGTACCATCAGGCTGGACTGAACTACTTTGCACGTGGTACTTCCCCATCATAAAGCACATGATATCTTGCACCCCTTTACTGTACTGATCTTTATCACAAATGTTTTTCACTCAGCTATACTCCCTCAGTTGCCTTTCCAGGATAGGAGACATTGAGCACAGCCCAATAAATTGGAATAACTAAGATGGGAAAAAATTCTTCAAAAAAGTGAATCATATAATGCTTTTAGGACAGGAACCATCCACTCACTGCAGTACCTGTGGGCTTTGTCCCATAGTGATAGAACCCTGAGTGTTATGTTATAAACCATTCATATGAAGGGGGGGGAGGATGAGGCTGCCTGTTACAGGAAGGACGAGCAGATTTGTTGCAATTAAAAGTGTTGTTCTTGTCCTAGCGCCTCTTTGGGCGAAAGGGAAAGGAAAGAACCAGGTTTGAACTCTTCACTTCAGCACCCTTTGGGGGAAAGAACCTGCTGTTCCAGGATGCCACTCAGCACCTGCAGCTTCTTGAGGAGCAGCTAGAGATTGCCTATATCCTTGGTCTGGATTATGTAGCTCTCCTTAAGGGACTTGGCCATGAAGGTGAGAAGCCCTCCGGTGGACTGTAGCTAAGGAAGGGGAAGAAAAAGTTCTCTTTCCATGTTATTCCTCCCTGCTAGGCACAAATGCATAGACCTAAATGTCCCCTCAGCAAAGAACAGATTGGTGCATAGGTGATGTGATCTCACTGTGCTCCTTCTTTCTAATGCAGGGAGCTCTTTGGACAACAGTGTTGTGCGCTGGTGCTGCATCAGTGACGCTGAGCTTCGCAAATGTGAGGAGTGGGCACTGAGCATCAAATCAGACCCATTGGTCTGTGTCCAAGCAACTTCCATGACCAAATGCATTGAAATGATCAAGGTAGGAAACCCCCTCTGGTCAGGGTAAGACGGCACAGGGTGTGTATGTCCTTGTCTGAGCTGAACAAGAGGAAAAACAGCTTGTACACTAGAGGAACTGGTAGGAATGAGAGGGAATTTATGCAGGGGAATTTCCAACCAGTGCAGAAGTACAGCTGCTTGGTTACACAATTCATGCAAATCCTGTTTTTTGTTATTTTCTATAATGCTGTTGGCAGAGTAGTGAGGCTGATGCAGTGACCCTGGACGCAACACATGTCTACATTGCAGGGAGGTGTGGGTTGGTGCCTGTAGCTGCGGAATGTTATGGTAAGTTCTCATGTGTCCCTAGCATAAGGGAGGGAATCAAAAAAGTGCCATTAAAAATATAGTGAAATTTCCAGAGTTTGGGGTGTTTTGTGATGAAAGGAGGAATCAATATCTATGTCCAAATACTCTTCACAGCTCTTCCACTAACTGGCTTTAGCATTTGCTCTGGCTGTTTATTATATCTCTTCTGTAAAAGGAACAGAGGTGCTGACATGGCTCAAGATAATTGCAAGGTTTTGATGGGGTGCTGCCATGTAATAGGAATGACAACAGTCACAAGATCCTTAATGGTTATCTCTCTTCTGCAGGGGGAGGTTGTGCCCCAGCTGCTAAGAGCATGGAGGAAGCAGGGAAACAAATTCATCCTAAGCGCAAAGGTAACAGGAGAACTTTGAGAACGCAAAAGATTTCTATTTTCTCAAGACTGCCTCTAGGATTTATGTAGGAATGTATTTTCATGTTGGTTTGGGAAAGAAATTGCTGTGCATGTTCAGTAGGAGCTTTACAGATAATGCTGGGTAGCTGGGACAAGAGCTTTGTGGCTAAGCAAAGAACGCAGATCCTCTACTGTAACTGAAGATATCATGACAGGATGAGGGAGAGAAGAGGGGGGCTGTATCTGTCTGGAATACTTATTTGCCTTGGAATAACTGGTGGTTCTCATTCTTTTACAGCACTGCCACCAGTTTATGCTGTTGCCCTAGCTAAGAAAAATGCCAAACAGATTAACATCCATAACCTTAGGGGAAGGCGATCCTGCCACAGTCACCTGTATAGTCCTGGAGGATGGTTACTGCTTTCCAAATACACAGTGGGAGCTCTGGAGAACAATACTGAGAACTGTGACATTGGCTCTGGTAAGGGCTGCTCTGGGTTATCTGTTGATTAAACCATGGAAATCTGAAGCCCCAAATTTGGGAGTAAAATGGAGATGGGGCCATGACCCTCTGAGACGATTGCAGTCTCAGAGGGTGTTGAAGCATCTCTTCCTCCTATCTGTGTTATTCGTCATACTATTTAGCACTCTTGTTGCTAGCTATTAGGATGGAATTCCATTCCTGTCTTTTCCCATGCATGAAGAGGCTTTGGAATACCTTGTCCTAATCTCACCTCAGTTTTCTCTACTCAGTTTATCAGAATTACTTTTGGAAGGGCTGCATGCCAGGAGCGGATGGAAACCTGTGCAAGGTGTGCATTGGAGACAGTGAGGTGGAAGGGGCTCGAGTATCTAGCAGATGTGCTGCAAGTCACAACGAACGTTACTATGGCAATATGGGAGCACTCAGGTAAGCCTTTTGTCAGAGTCAGAAATGCAGAGCAATAGCTGGAATTGGCTTATTATTTTGCTGATGGTTTTCTTCAGAGGTGGGTTTATTTTGGTTTTTCTTTTTTATTAAGCAACTGGCTGCATAAACTTTTGCTGGCATGTATTTTTGTTTTGGTTGCAGTTGCTATGGGATGTGCAGCTGATTGGTGATTTAGAACAGCCGTTAAACCATTTCCAGAGTAAGACAACTCTTCCAAACATATAAGACTTAGAGCATTGGTACTGACTCATTAAAGAAAAGGGATGAAAGACAGTTAGAAGGTCAGAGAGCAGAGGTGATGGGGTAAGAAGCAGTCTAGGGTACAGGAGGTAATTAAGTAGACTGGAGATATTAAAAAAAAATAGTTGAAGCAGAGAATATTAAAGGTCAAAGCACTCTTATAGAATATATATAATGCATTTAGTTCAATTACATTCTCTTTCCTGGCTAGGCACAGGTGAGGCTGCATGGACATTGTGCCACAACTTTGACTTGGGAGCTGCTTTCGGGGCTGAAAGGGATTGTCTCATCAAACATGTGAACACTGTCCACCAAGGTCTATACTGACATCACTAACTTGTTCTGTATAACAACCAAGTCATTACAGACAAGGGGGATACTTCTAGCTACTCCTGGACGACATCCGTCATCGTGTAGTGGCTGTCTCTGATAACTTCTTGGTTTCTTTTCCTGCACTAGGTGCCTAGTTGGCAATCCCAGTGGAAGAAGCTTCGGAGATGTAGCTTTCCTGGAACACTCTAACCTACTCCAGAACATAGAGAGTGAGAGGCAGATATTCTCTTTTCCTTTGAGAATGTTCAGTACTGTCAGTTACTTCCCACACAGCGACCATTACTCATGAGGATCAGCTTTTACGGGTTTAATCTAGGTCCATGAAGTTGTATTTGTGACTGGAAAATTGCAAGAACTTCCCTGCATGTAGGTGTTGCAGTAAAGCTCAGATACTGTTCCGTTTTAGAGAGGAAAGAGGAAGAGTCACTAAGTGCAAAGATCAAGGTGTGTGTTGGGGGGCTAATCATCCTTGGAGACTGCACTGATTTTTGGAAAGCTCAAAGCTTTATAAAGCAAGTGACTTTTCCCACTGAATCTTCTCCTATAGGCAGCCATATTGCTTGTACCCATTGTTTTTAATCAGAGTTGCAAGACTGAAAATGGCAGATAAGGGCGATGCTGTGGGCTGTTTGTGCTGGGAGATGTTCTATGATGTCATGGTGACAGGGCAACATCCTCGTTTTGTTTCACAGGCACTTATGGAATAAACAGTCCAAATAGCCTAATAGATAAAAATAGTGCAAATTATTTTGTCTTTCACAGTTTCTAAAACAACATTGTTACTAGACTGTGAAATGTTTAATTTCCTTTGGGAAATACTGATCTTTGCAACAATTTAGCAATTGAATTTTGTTTATGAAAATGGTTTTGGTTACAGTCAGTTAAATCCCCTCAATCTCTTAAATTATGCCTACTGTTCTAACAGCCAAAATACACTGCCTTTTCATAGAGTTGAAGGGAAAGGGAACCCCCATTTTTTTCAGCCTTATAAAGCACACTGAAATTCTATTTTAGGCAATTTCAGTAAGAGAAGAGACTTTTCTAAGAGAGGATTCTCTCTAAAATCAAGTGGAGATATAAGGGCCTGGAAACCCACAGGAAATCCTGCAGCAATGAGCAGTTTGTTTGGAGAAGTGAAGGACATGCAGGCTGAATTGCTTTGTTTTCAGAAAGTGATCTGATTACAGATGAAGATGAGGCATGATAAGCTGTTCGTATACCTTGACATTACTCTAGTTTTTAGTTGATAGGTGCATTTTGAGTTCACTGACTTGTTTCCTCAGAGAAGACACTGCCCTGCTCCTTACACGTTCCTAATAAATGACCATGTAGCATGCTGCATTTATTTTGAACATACTAACTAATCTTCTTCCTCTCAATTTTTAACATTTTGCATGAGATTCACCCTGTCTTCTGCTATCATTTTTTAAAAGGATTTGCTTTCACTTCATCTTCTTTTCAGATCTGGACAGCTCTGGTTGGGCAAAAGGTTATACCCCTCTTGACTTTGAACTCTTGTGTCCGGATGGAACACGTGCTGCTGTCACAGAATGGGCAGGCTGTAACCTCGGCCCCATTCCCCCCAGCACAGTCATGACTCGACCGGTCACTGTCGCTAAAATCTATGACTTTCTAATGAAATCCCAGGTAAGACAGGTAATAGGGAAAAAGTTAGCATGTTATCACGTGTTATTTACAACTGCTGAAAACCCTTTCAAGGCCAAAGCTTTATATACTAAAACCATGAAGTGCTTTCAGGTCCAATATGAAAGAATTAAGAATGTACATGCATAGGAGGTTGGAAAAGTAATTATTTGGATTCTTCAAAGGGGCATTTTGGCATTGTTGCCATTCCGTGGTGGTCATACTTTTGCTGAGAAATAAGCCACTGCAAAACTGCATCTTTTTGTATGAATAAGGACAGTGCTAGGTGAAAGTGGAACCTTTTTTCTGCTACATCTTGCTGTAAAACTGAGGGTCACCAGCTTAACCTTGCTATTTCTGATCCAAGCTGTGGAACTTACTTCTTTTCTGTTTAGGAATCTCTGGGAAGCAAACCGGATTCTGAATTCCATCTCTTTCAGTCTTGGAAGTATGGTGAAAGTGATCTGCTTTTCAAAGATACTACTCAGTACCTTGTTCACGCAAGTCACATGAGCTATCAGGAAATTCTTGGAGCGTATTTCTTTCAACTGGCAGAATCAGTGTTTAATTGTACACCTGCAGGTAAAGTCAAGTTCTGAATTTTGAGTTTGAGAAAACTGCAAAGCAGGAAGCCTTCTGTGCATAGCTATTGCCCTTTTGTTTAGACTGAATGAAAATAAGTATGTTCTACATAATCCTGTTAGTAACAATTTTCCAAGGAGTTTGGAGCTCCTTTAGAGCCTCTTACAACTCCTATCCAAAAGCACTGAAACTGGAGCTCTGCAGGAACAGAATAACCAATACATTTTAGAGCAAATATGAAGTTATTGAAATAGGACTGTTTTATTCCCACTCTGAAATTTTTCCCTTCAATTCCAAAAATCAGTTCTGAGAAAAGGGAATATAATTAATATTCATTTGGATATGCCAAACTTGAGAAAAAGATAAGAAATTTTATATTTAATTTTTGAATTAACCTCAAAGTAAGTTAAATAATTTTGTTTTGAAAAAGAGTGCACTAGAGAACTCAAGATCAAAACCATCATAAATTTAAGGGATGGCTTTTTCATTTTTTTCTAATGAAATGTGTATGAATTATGCATTTAGCTATCACTGAAATGGAAACTCTCTATGAGCCAGGGTGAAGCTGTTTGGGGATCTGAAAGTCTTATTGAAGTAAACGAAGATTACACAGTTAAGTTAGACTTCTGTGAGTCTAAGTTGTTAAAGAACTGAAATTTGAAAGGGGAATTTTACCTCTATTCTGCTGTTTTGGTGAAGAGTACCTGAAGAATTTAAATTTTTACTTTTAAAGCTGATAGTATCTTTAAGTGTATACTTTCTTGCTGGTTTGTAGGCATCTTAGACTTCTGCAAACAGGATATCTGTGCATCCACATCGAACTGACAGCTAATACAGAGGCTTTGCAAGGCACGTACACCACCATCAATGCTGAAAACAAGGAAATATGCAAGTCCAACTTACCCAAAGAAATCAGCAAGGAAATAATAGACATCTCTAGAAATGTATGCTGAATGGTCTCTTGTCTTTCTTCTTTTAAAGCAGATTTTATGTTTATGATAACATAATACTACTCATATGTCAAACCCTTTTTTGCTTGGAGCATGGCATCCTGTGGAACAGCACAGGCCAGTCTGCGTAACCCACAGCACAGAACTAGGATCAGCAATTCTGTACAACTACTATGGAGAAATAGCAGGGTCGATACCATGGACTAAAATACAGACTGTCATGAGTGGCACAGGTTAGTCAGTAGCAGTTTGCCTTGCTTATCTTTTAAAAACTGTTTCCATGCAAAATCAATCAACTGACATTTTGGTAGTTGCAGCATTGTCCTCCTATATCTGTGATTTTGGTTCAGCTAGATAGTCCTTGCTGAATACACATACTATAAAGGTTATATATGTAATTGCTATCAGAATTAGTAGTATTTTCTGCTTTTAACTGGGAAGAACATATTGGCTTTTTTAACCAATCAAAACATTTTTTTCCTCGCAAGTTACTGTATTAAGGCATCTAATAACCAGCAGAACTGGATGCTTACAGCCTTAAGGTGAAAGAAAGCAATGAATATTCATCCTTGTCAAAAACACTAAGTGTGATAGTACTTTGACACTCCGAATCTATGATTCTATGAAGTGTCAAAATATGATTTATCAATTAAACAATGTTGATTTTACACACAGAAACTACCTGGATATGATATAAAGCCTTTTGAACAGAATGTATCATGTATTCATTTTGCCTGTTAGTAGATAAAGATTTAGAGTAGATGATAACTATTCATTGGCAAGGCTTATTTCAGTTTGCAACAGTGGTATCACCTTCTGCTGTCATGCCCCCTGAACCAGGCAAGGTTAAGATTTTTAATTTAAAAAAAAAATAATTAAAAAAATCCTTCACACAAAACTTTCCAGTCCTTGCTACATCTGTTCCAGTTGTATTAACCTCAGCTAGCAATAAATGAGATGCAAATAGTGAAGGCAATGTATCTGCTATATAAAGGAAAAAACCAAACCAACCCTTCCACCAAAAACAACAAAAAGTGAGGCAGGAGTAAAATACTTGGTTGTAAAATACACTGCTAAGTGTACCTGGTTTTAAACAGTTTGTTCCATGCCTAGCTTGTCTTTCCTGTTGTTTGACTTACAGTCACCCCCTCCTCCCCATTTGCACTTTGAGAAAGAAAAAATTTGCACTCTGACCAGCAGCAAGGGTTTTAGATTCAGTGCATCTTAGCTGAGACTGTTGTCCATCTCATTTGTCCCGTTGTTTGACTAATCAAACAGCAGAGAGAAGATGCGAGTCCAAACTCGTCTACCTTTCAGACAAAGAGGGGAGAGGTGAATGGTGAATGAAACAAGTCCCAGTATTGTAACAGAGCAAAATCCTTGTATACTGTGTTGCAGCCAGCAAGCTGTAACCCTGAAGAAGTGGGGGAAAAGCAGGATGCTTGTTTAGGTCTCTGAGGTACTCCCTTCCTTTCTTTACTGGAGCTTACATGCCATCTGCGGGACCCACCTAACACTGCACTTCAGAGAAGGGAGTTATGAGAACAGAGTGAAGAAATGTATCTGCCAGCTTAGTTTTGCCAACTGAATAGCAATAAATTGAAAATCTGGGTCATACAGAAGATTTTATGGGGGGGAGGGACATTGTTTTCTGGCATAGACATTACAGATGCTTAATAGGCCTTTTTGATGTTCCTGTGCTTCAGCTTTGGTTTCAAAGCATCAGTCTGATGCCTTGCACAGACTGGAGAACAGGAATGACTGGCCTGCTTCAGCTTTGAACCTCTCAGTTGTGGACCTAGCAGGAACTGTCTGTGCTGTCTGGCACCTGCTACTCTACTACCTTAAGAGATGGATGCTGTCTCAACACTATGAATATTAGCTAGGATCATGCTTAAAATCCCCCCGGTCTGTTTCTGTTCCTGTTAAAGTATGGCTAGAGATGAATGCACACTAGAATTGCTGTTCTGTCCCTCACCAACAGCCCACCCAGTTATTTAAGAGTGTTAATCTCTTTGGAGATTTGATGTCTTCCCCTCATGTATGCAAGACAGATATATCATGCACATTTACTGATACAAGCCTAATGAAGGCCTTAAAAACAACTCAACTGAAATGTTCTCAAAAAAATTTATTTCCATAAATTAAAAACACACACAAAAGAAACAGTAAAATTTTAGATTCACACAACATTGAACAGAAACAAAATGCCAAGAGCATGATGGAGGCTAATGGCACAAGTGTACAAATTCTCATTGAGCTATTTGTTAACTTGATAGCATCATACAGACTTTTAATCCACAGTTACCGTCCATATTCTAGAAGAGCACCTGGAACATAATACACCAAAGGCCCACCTCAAATTGAATACAATAAATGAGAACTGCTTGCAGAAAATCATACCCAGCAAGCATCAGAACTCAAATGTACGCAGCTACAAGGCCAGCCAAGCCAGGCAAATGCTGTAAAATACATTAAGTAGCCTTAGCTGCTCCAGTCATAATATGATGAAAATGAAATTAAAATAAGGGTTTGGAGGTTTTTTTTTGAAAGTGATCTTTCTTTCTCCCTCCCATAATCAGCAAACTTAGCAAACAGCCCCCTGGCTCTGCAAAACTTACTACTAAGAGACAGTACGTGGAAAAGCTTTGCAATTCTCAAGCTGCTCTAGTTGACATTCTGTGAGCAGTATGTACAACGTCTTTCCATGATGGTAACACAAAAAATCTTCACTGGAGTGGGTTCACTTTATGAAAAGGCAAGTGTACGTATCCTTCAGCTAGGGAAATACGCAAGTCCCCAAAGATGCATCCTCTCTGCTTTTTTCTTTCAGTTATCTGGGACAGAAGCAGCTCAGAGTGGCAAATACCTAGCTTTTGCAGTCATCACTCCCAGTGTACAAGCAGCAGCCACAAGGAACAAGGCTGTTCCACGAGTGCTGTAAACAGGAACAGAGGTGGGAAAGGAAAATAGAAAAAGTGCACAAGCATGACTGACATCTGTATGCTAGGGGGGAGGGGGGCAAGAGATGAAGAGATGCTTTGTCTCAATTGGCTTACATCTCTTATCATCATACAAATACTAAACCAAAACAGAATAATGCTGTATATTTGGGTTTCCACAAACTAAGGTCTGGGACAAGCTGGGTAACTGCAATATTTTGTAACTTTTAAGACAAAAGAGAATTGAGTGGTTTCTTTGCTCTGCTCTTTCTGCTGTAGCTGTTAAAAAGCAAGCTAAGAAATGTTATTTCAAAGCAATCAGAAACAAGACACAGCAGGGAAACAGACAAAAAAAACCCCCACAAAACAAACAAAAAACCACTGTGGCCCAAAGGGAAAACCCAACATGTTCCATGTTTTGAAGCACATTAGAGGTCTGAACTTTGCCTGGACCCAAGTTTCCTCCCTCCCTGCCCATATTCTTGTTTCCTTAAAAGCCCGAGTAAGGTTACAGCTCAGTTGTGTCACAGCATTAGAAGCCTCCCATACTCATAGAAGGTGAATGAATGCTGTGTAACAATCCCTTTCTGTAGCATAAACCCATAAAAATATATATCTCTTGCTACAGCTTCCAACCAGTCAATAATTGGGCTGATAAACCAGTATAGGGAAAGTTTCAAACATTTTTAAAAGGTAGTTGACCTGTACTTTTTAGGGATTTATTTTTTATAAAAATAAAGAGGATCAATTAAAAATGTTCTACAGCAGCCCAAATAGGTTAACCAGACCTTGCTGCTGAACTAGTTTGTCAATATGTTCAAAGATTGCCTGCCTTGTTGTTTTACCCTCAAAACCCAAACACCACTACTTTAAGTGTGCACTCCTCTCTTTTCTTCAGTCTTCCTGATTAAAGATAATTAGCCTCCAAAACAAGAATGTAAACTTCTAGGAATCCCAGCACATATGCTAGGAGCAAAACAAGCCCAGATGACATTTCTTTCAAGACTCAGGCACACACAGTGTAATAATCCTCTACCATTTCCCTACTTTCAAAGCTCTGGAATTCAACAGATTGCTTGTTAATTTTTAGTTTTCTGTTCAGTCAGTGACAGAAGTGGCAGAGCAACAGAAGATAATGATGGTATTTTTAGTCCTGCATTTATCAGGACTTTATTAAAAATACCCACCCACTAGATATTTGCTCATTTTGAAGGTAAATAGAAACTCTGTTATACGGGTAGGTAAATAAGAAAGTGCAAGTTTCAAGTGACAAGTGAAAGAAAGAACAGACTAATTAAATTTGAGCATCCCAGCAATGACAGCTTGGCCTGAATAACTTCTATAGGCACTAAAGGACAGAAATTACCTGAACTGCAGCTAGCATTCATTTTGAATTATGCTTCAAGTAAGTTTAACAGAAGTTATCCCAGAAGGGAGCTCTCTTCCCTCAAAAAGTATAGCTGAGAAATTGCCTAGTGCTGCATCAGATAATTACAAATGGCCTTACATAATGAAAAAAACCAGTAAAAATTTCCGCATGCTAGGAGGCTCTTCTTACAACGCTATTATGTACAACAGTGCTGTACAGAGAATACTTAATTACGAGCTACATGAATTGTAAATCTAAAATGGTAAAAAAACCCTCAAGATGGAAAAAAATTATTTTCTTGTTGGCATTAAAATCAAGTTGATAATTTTACTGGAACTAAAATCACTTAAAAATGAGTCTTAAAGATTTGCTGGTGTTCCCTGCATGCAGCAGCTCAGCTCAGTTAAATAAAAACTTCTACTTACATATCCTGCAGCCTAACATCTTCGTGGGCTAATTACCTTTTCCTCTGGAGACGAGGTTGGCATTAGCCAAGTAGGTAAAAACTCGACTATTCGGGAAAAATTAGTACTGGACACAATTTTTTCTTAAAATATTACCTTTTTTTTTGAGCTCAATCATGTTAAAAGGTGTCCTCATGCAGCAAATAAAGAAACATATACA